TCATACAAAAGTTAATGGGCCATACCCTGCTAAGCTCGAAGTTACTGCAGGTGTTCACATGAACGGCAGTTTAGCTCATTTGAGAGCAGGACCAGGAGGGAGACAGGGAGCGGATGCCTGGCAACACCATGTGGTATTTCCTCACAAACAGCAGTAGCAGAGATCCCTCCACGGATGGCTACAGCCCGAGCAGCCAAGGTCACACATTTTGGAAGATGCTCTGCAGCATCACATGACAGTCCTGACACGAATCCAGGCCAACGATAGCTCACACACCCCGCGCAGGGTCTGCGCAGGCACGGAGCATGCATCCAGCGGGCACCAAGAGCTCCTCAAGGACTGCTGCTTACCCATAGTTCGGTCTCCTTCAAAAATTCACAGACCCTGCGCTCAGGAACTTAAATAAACCTATGACATCCAATAAAAGTCATGCTTGCACCTTTCCACTGAACCATGGGGAGGCACAAACACACTGCAGCTGCACAAACTGCAGAACTTGTCTTGAAGCAGTCGCCACCTAAGTAGACCAAGGAATGCACATCATGGATATCGTAGAGATCCAAGGCCTGCCCTCAAACAAAAGGAATCCCAGTAAGATTGCAGATGCCCACAAGAGACAGCTTAACCTAACTTAAAATAAAGCAGAGTGAGAAGTTTAAAACCGCAGTCAGCAACGCAGCCCGTCCAGAATGCCGTCTCCTGATCACAGATGCTCAGGCTGACAGAAAGCTTTGCTGCCGTGGCTGAGGCACAGCAAACACTGAGGCAGAGCAAGTTTTCAATTCTCCCTTCCCCTCTTTTTGTCATTTCCAAATGTATTTGGCTGCCAAAGTTTACCAGTCGTCTTTTATATCTTTTGGTTTACAATGAATCCCTCCCATCCTCTGGGTGCTCCCAGTTTCCCATATTAAATCACATGAATTAAGTTAAAGCCTGCAAATCTCCCTGCAGTCTGCCCTCTCCTTCAACCTCAAGAAGAATCTCGGAACAAAGACCAACCCAGTCAGGCACAGTTACTAAGAGGTAAAAACACTGGGATTAAAGGCAGACAGTAAGCTAATTAGCTCCAATATGGTGCTCTTCTAACCAACTTGTACACCAGAGTACTGATCTCTTACACTTGCAGCTTGCCAGCACAATGCAGCTGGGGAAATTTGCTTGATCCCTGACAAGCAAACACAAACATGCACAAAAAAAACCCCCAAACTACAGAAAAATAGGAGCCAGATGAACTAACTGCATCCACTGCCCGCACCAGCAATACACTCAGGAAAGACAGCAGCTGGGGAGGCCACACGAATTATTTTGGCAGCGGGGCCGTCTGGCAGCAGAGAGGCTCCTGGGTGAGTCAGAAGCATCGGGCTGTCCCACGGCCGCACAGCCCTGCCCTGCCAGCGACGCGAGCTATGACGGCTGCTGGGCCGTGGACGCTGACACAGCGCCAGCGCTCAACCTCAGCTTGCAACGGGACCTGCTTCCAGATGTGAGCAACTGACTTAGGCTTAGATTAGTTTAGTGGGCATGGGATTCGGGATGAACACACGTCCAGCGTGCCGTACAGGCAGGGTTTGACAAGTGACGGAGCCAAGCCGCCATGCTCTCCGCCTGCCCAGGGAAGGTTGGTTTCCCCCCCTCCTGCCAGCCCCAGCAGCATCATCCAACCCCCTCACCAGCACTGCAGCTCAGGGGTCCTGAGCCAGGACCGGTCAGGGTGAAGGCACCAACACAGCCTCAACAAGGGAGATGCCTACAAGGTGAACAGATAGATGGGCTGTGCGTGTTAAAGGCACAGGGCAGTGCTTGCGGTCAACACAAAACTCATAACACAGGAATTGAGAGGCTGCCACATGCTGTGCCACGTGCAGCACCAGCTTTCCAAGCATCATGCATGCAGTTTGTACAAGTCCACCTAGCAAACCTCAGCAAGAGATTCGTAACATTGAGAACTTGTCCAACAAGTCAGCAATGGTATAAGTAGGTGGAACAGGGATATAAACCAGGGTGCAGAGTCACAGCAAAAATCACTCTGTCTTGTTCAGACAACCAGAAGAACCCAGAGTAAAAACCAAAGAGGGCTTCAAGGCTCCACAAATCCTTCCCACGACCTCGTCCCAGAAGAAAGAGAGGAAACACACCCTCCTTGCAATTCCATGCTCTACGGACAATGACTTAACCCCTAGGCACCTTCAGAATAACTTACAGCACTTTCTTTCTCATTGATTTTGATAATTACATATTTTTCTATTTTAGCAGTCACCCTAAACATCCAAGTCAGTTGCCTGCTGAGAGGGGTGAGCCTCCCGGCTTTTGTTTCAGATACCCCCCCAAACAGAAGGGCTGTCATCGCCAAGAGTGGCACTTGCATGTGAAGGGGTAACCAACAGGCATTAGCTATTCCACTGTCAAAGCCTAGAAGAGACAGAGCAGTCAAGTTATCTACGAGCTGAACTGAAGAAATACAGGTGAAGTGTTTCTCACTAGGGATTTACCACGCATCAGCTACTGCACGTTAATTAATCCAGCTACAGCAACACACCTTTTTAAAGGGAAGAGATTTTTCAGTGCCCAACAGGCACTGCACTGTCATTTACCCACCACTCACATGCTGCTTCTGCAATCAAACAAGCCTGCAAGATAAAAAGAAATCCGAGGATCCAGAAGACAGAAGCCCTTCGCAGGGAACACCAGCAGACAGGGATAACACGGTGCAGGATTTGCATTACTGAAGACCCTGGCCAAGTGAGCAGCACAGCAACTGCACGGGGAGATTGCTGGAGACTGCTCCTCTGCAACCAATAACCAGAAACCGACCAAACCAATATAAAAAACCCAAACAAACCAGCTTTAAAATGCAGTAACTACTGGACCAGCTGACTTAAAGACACAGACTCTCCTGAACTGGTGTCTTTACAGGGACTGCGTTTCTTGTTGTAGAAGAGCTCTTAGAGCCCAACCATAAGTGACCAGGATCAACACAGGAATCCCCAAAACATTTGTCCATCTCTCCAAAGCAGGAGGCCATATCATACAATAAAATCACAGAATCATAAAATCGTTTAGGTTGGAAAAGCCCTTTAAAATCATCAAGCCCAACCATTCCCTTAACCCTGCCATCCCACCACTAAACCCTGGCCCTAAGCACCTTGTCCGCCCGTCTTTTAAATACACCCAGGGATGGGGACTCGACCCCTTCCCTGGGCAGCCCCTTCCAGTGCTTGACAGCCCTTTTGGGGAAGGAATTTTTCCCAGTGTCCAACCTAAACCTGCCCTGGCACAACTTGAGGCCATTTCCCCTTGTCCCATCGCCCGTTCCCTGGGTCCCAGCTTTGTTGCCCTTCTCTGGACAAGCTCTAGCAACATCAAATTGCCATGGCAGAGTCCATGCCCCAATGTGACAAGCCCAAAACCACGATGAAAAGGTTCAATTGCCCAAATCAGCCAGGTTTCTTCACCCTGCTGCTGCAGCCCAGCAGTTCCCACCTCCCCAAGCGGGACACCGGTGTCTCAGCAGAGAGCAGAAGGCAACAAACCCATACACATCTAAGGAGGCATCTGTGTCTTTGGTGAATACAGTGCAGTCCATTTTAAATAAGGTACACGAGATCTGGGAACATGGCCAGCTTTTGAAAGGTGCTGGTTCAGATCGGCGCACTCCAGCCTTGGAGAGGATGCCCGAAGCATCACGTCCATTCAGATTTCTGTACCTTCTTTATAAACATCACTTCAGTGAAACTTGGACGGACGTCTGCTGCCAGCCCCTGCCCTGCAGGGCAGACACTGCACAAACACCCTGTGCTGTCCACTTTCTCTCGTGCACTGTTTCTTTCCAGCCTCCACAGGCCTTCCCATTGGGAAGCAGACCTCCGTTTTTCTTTCAACTCATGTAAAATCTTATCAAACCTCAATCCAACAGAAGACACCTGACTTCAAAGGCAGCGATCACGTCCCAGCTATACAATGCTAACAAGGTGGTTATGTTCGTTTGATACACGCAGAGCTTGATGTGGTTACACAAAACTCCTGTAAGTAATGCTTCACTCATACACGCCGGGACTAGGAACACATCCCATTTGGGGAACTCCTCAACAAAATCAAGGTTGGAAAGTACGTATTTTCTCTTTTTTTTTTATTCCGTCCTCACAAAACTCATCTTTCTCTCGCTGGATGGCCCTCGTTTTGACAGGTAACAGTGCGATTTCCACTCCTGTCGGCTCCGTCAAATCAGCCTAAAATAACTGAAAAAGCTCCCCAGCATCCGATAAGACTAACTGGTATTTTTGGGCTGCCCCTTTACCAAGAAAACAGACATATTAAGAAAGTCAGTTGATTACAAGTAAATGAAAATGGAAAAACACAGCTTACATATAAAAACAGTCCTACAGGCAGAGGTATACACAGACTCAAACACAAAGCAGATATGGTCAGCCAGATCCTGGCAGAGATGCTGTACAGGAATAAACTGGTAGGCACAACCAAACTGAAACACACTGGTTTGCTCACCGCACAACTATCTTTACCTTCCATAATAATTGCAAACGCATCCCAGTAGATGTACACCCATCAATCTGACAAATCTGCTGGCATACGTTAACATGCACCAGCTTTATAACTCCACTGCGGGCAAGGTAAGTGCAGTCAACTCCTGATTTTATTCAATCAGTTCCCTCCTGCTAAAGATACAACTCACTTGCCTACACTAGAATAAGAACAGGTAATTAATACACCATGACAGATAACACTTATTTTAGTACCTACTGAGGACAAGGATTAATTCTCCCCTCCAGTCTCCCCTTTTCTTATCTTGTCCTTTTCCATCTTCCTTGTTTTCTTATCTACATCATATGTGTCATTTCAGCTGGCCATTCATATGCTGCTTCATACCTAACCTGCTGCTCGCTTTGCTTCAGAACCCCTCCACCTCTCCACTGCCTTCTTGTTCCCCAAATCCCCTCTCTGAGGTTCCCAAAGCAAACTGCCACCTTTCCCAGGGCTCCTCTTACTTTCTCCATCCATTATGCCCCTCTGCTCAGAGAGGTAAGTCCACCTGCGAGCCTTCTGACAGTGCCCACACTGTGCCCCAGCAGATCCAACATCTCAACATCGAGGCATCAACATCTTGTCCCTCTCCTCCGCCGGGCCTGGGTCCAGGAGCACTTTCAGCAGCGGGGAGCAGAGCTGCTCAGGTCACTCCTTGCACTCACAAAGGCAGCAACACGAAGAGGAAGAGGATACAGGAGTCACGGCATCTATCACCAAATTCCCATACCGAGGATTGCACCATTACAGTGATACTCGCAAACGGTTTCAAATAAATATTTTGGTTTTGACAGCGCTGTCTGAAGTCCCTACGATTACCCCAAAGACACAGCGTAGACTGCATACTGACACCATTCATCTGACCAAGTCCATCGCAGGGCTCACCAATTCCGCCATCTGCCAAACATGAATGGCTCCTGACCTCTCAAAAAGCCTCCCAGCAGCTCTTTTTCGCCAGGCAGAGCACGGTACAGGGCAGAGCTTCCTCGTACATCGGCAGAAACATCCTGAATGGCACCCAAGGGCGAGAGCGGGGCTCTAGTTTGGCTCCTTATGCACTCAGGTACCCCTTGGCAACCTCCCTGCCCAGGACCTCACCTCATTCCCACAGGACTCTCTAACCAGATATGGACCTCCTCTGATATTTGCTAAAAGCAGAAAGGTTATGGCTGGAGTGGGGTAGAGAGGGCAAAGGCCTCAATGGGGGAACAGACAGGACCACAAATTTGAAGGGAACAAAGAATCCCAAAATCCAGCTGAACGGGTTGGGAATTCCCACCCAACACCTCTGAACCATCATGTACGCTCTGAAAAGACTCATACAGTACATGTGCCTTGCTTCCAACAGAAAGCAGCAAGTACCTTGAGAAGTCCCAGTTGCCTCCAGTCTTGCCAAATGTCGAATGCAGGAGCTGAATCTGTAACAGGCAGCAGTCCCAGCTCCTGCTTGGCACAGGAGGTAGGATGAGTGACTCCACAGGTTGCAATTAGAATCAAAATTCTTCCTCTGCCTTGGAATTAATTATATTTCTAGATTTCACACCACCATTCTCCAAATGATAATTTTCTACATCATGCCAGCAGTAAAGACTATCACTAATTTTGGCAACGACAGAAAGGCAAAATTGCTCCAATTACAGTTTGGGTGTTGTTTTTCCTTAAATCATTGTCAAAGTAGAATATCCTACTTCCCGCAGAATCTCTGTTTTCTCCACAAAATGCCCAGGACACTAAATACGCAGGACTGCTCCTGTACTGGTAACATTACACGCTAACTACAACCATTCTTCACACCAGCAGCCACCGGCATACAGATAGACTTCAGCCTGCATGTCACAAACAAAAATTGCCATTTCAAAAATTACGAAACAGGATCTATTTTCAATACTTAGAATTCCAGCTCTCCCTCATCTCTGAGCTGTCAACCGTGCCTTGAACACGGCACCACCAACCGCGCTGGCCAAGATGACCCTTTGGGAAGAAATGAAGCTCCCAGGTTCATGGGCAATTAGCCAGGAAAAGACACAAGCATGAAGCTGCGGCACACGGAACACGAAGGGTGAGAAGACCTGAAGCAACCCCGTGCCCGATGACAAAGCCTGAGGGCCGTGGCTGCACAGCAAGCCCAGCGTGAGGACAGCTGGTGTCCCTTTGTCTCAGTGTTGTCACCTGGAGGGGCTTTAGCCTGTGCACATCAAAAATACCATAGGACATCAAATTAAAAACAAACCAGCGTGGCCTGTGGAGACCTTTTAGATCTGCTGCCCCAGCTCCAGACATCAACGTGATGGGCCTCAATGTCCATGAAGATTTCTCCACCACACCACAGTCCCCTGCGCCTTCTCCCCACCCCCAGCCCCTGCCAAACTCCCTGACAGCAGACAGCCCTTACAAAACCACCAGCCCTCGTATCAGAACAGAAACCCCTGGCGAGAGGCTCCCACCTGAGGCCAGCTTGCCCAAGCACGTGTCCTCCAGACACAGCCTTCAAAAGCAAAGGATTGGTGTCCAGAGGAACACTGCCACAGCCCGGCCAAAGCCGTGAGAGCCCTCCCACCCTCTCCCTCACAGCAGCAATTGCACAAGCCGGGTCACAGAGTGGTTCTGGCTGAAAATTAACTGAGCAAAACTTTTTTTTTTAAAAACTATAATTACTTGTTTCCAGCTTAATGACTTCCCCGCTCCACCTCGCCATACTGCTTAAGCCAATTAAATCAACGCTGACGCAGTCCTACCTACTTTTCTCCCCACCCAGTAATGTATTCCCGCACCTCCCCTGCACCAGTGCTCACCAGACACCACCACAAGCAAACACTGGGCGTCCGTCACCACTCCTGGGTGGGTTTGCTTTGCAGCAGCTCAGCTTGCCTTGGCGTCAGCAGGGAGCCAGCGCTAGTGGGACATGAGCCTGGGGCAAGGCCACAGTGCAGCGGTGGGAGCAGTGGGACCTGCCACAACAAGCTGCAGACCACCTGCAGGCACGGTCAGCCCCTTCCCATCCCACCCACAGCTCCCTCAGCTTCGCACAGGTGGTGCACAATGGCAGAGGTTTGTCCTCCTGGGATGGAGTTTCTTGCTGGCTCCAGGAACCTGCCTTCACCTCCACTGCCACAGCAACCTGCTCCTCCAGAGTGCACCCAGGATCCTATGCTCAGCTCCTCCCCAAGGACCTGAACACTCATCGGTCACCTTAAAAAAAACCCAAACAACCCTAACACCAGCTTTCACCACAAAAACTTGCATATCATCAAACCAGCCCAGGCATCCTGAATTCATATTTAAATAGCTGCTTTAAACCAAATACAAAGGAAACAACCTCCAGTCCTCCACCTGGAGAAAGAATGCAGATGCTCTATTATAGCAAACTTACAGGCCATCCCAGGTTCTCCAGTCAGGGTGCAAAACCAACTCTCAGCCCTGAAAATACACGGAATTTGGGGGAACGATTCATAAATATGAAAACCAGGGGTCAGGTGGGAATACAAGGGGCAGCATGGAGAGCTGTAACTGCACTGCAATGAGGCTATTTCTTGTTTTATCACAACCACTTTGGCATATCGTGGTCAAGTTTTTAATCTGTGCACTTAATTTACATGGCTTGGGATTCTGGTTTCTGACAGGCGTTGTAAGGATGGGCAATACCAGGGCCCAGCAGGTGCCTGCTCCTTCATCAAGCAAGCATGGGAGTTTCACAGGGAGAAGCTGCAAACAGCAAAAATTCACCTTTCTGTTCCAAGTGTACCAAACTCTTTAGTTTATAGCATCGGTTCTCTGCCCGAACAGGTCCTCATCAGCCTCAGTGCAGTCTGTCCTAGCAGGGCAAAACACAGAGTACAGCAAACATTAGTTGCTGAGAGCACCTGCCCCTCTCTCAGGACAACCTTTCCTTGTTCTATTGAAGAATAAAGAGTTCTCAAAACAGGGCAAACAGCTGCTTTAGTATCATCATCCCTGGGTTAAAATAATAATAAAAAAAAAAAAAACCAAGACTGCACCGCCTCAGCCTAACAAAGCCTAAGATGTTGCTCAAGCGAGAGTGTTCTTCAGTGCTCTAACTTTAAAGGAAAAACTCGAAAGGTGTTTGCTGCAGCTTTTCTGAATAATAAATATCCACCGTTTTTGCAAGAGTGCTCAACCATCAACAAGTGCCATCGAGAACCCTGGCAACGTGACCCTACTGAAACACCGTAAATTAACATCAGAATTAAGCAAGGCTGAGCCAGACGTTCACCGTTGGGCTGGTTTTACTTCAACATCTGCTTTGAGAAGAATCCACAGCCTGGAGGAGAGGGCCGGGGGAGAGCGGCCGCTGCGGGC